GGGGGGGACAACGGGGGGGACAGTGGGGACACCGCCGGGGGGGCCAGGGGACGGGGACACCATGGGGACACCATGGGGAGACCATGGAGACACCATGGCTGGAGAAAGGGGAGACCAAGGAAGGGTGTGGAAGCCCAAGGTAGAACCATGAAGGTGGTCCAGAGTCTCCTGGAGATGTGGGGAGACCTTGGGGACATCATGGGGACACCTTGGGGACATCATGGGGACATCACTGGGCGGGACAGGGGACAGGGATGGGATGGAGACACCATGGGGACAGCATGGTAGGAGCAAGGGGACACCAAGGAAGGGTGTGAGACCCCAAGGTAGAACCATGAAGGTGGACTAGAGCCTCCTGGAGACATGGGGACACCTTGGGGACACCACTGGGGGGGCCAGGGGATGGGGACACCATGGAGACACCACGGGGAGACCATGGGGACACCATGGCAGGAGAAAGGGGACACCAAGAGGGGAGGTGGGACCCCAAGGTAGAACCATGAAGGTGGTCCAGAATCTCCTGGAGACATGGGGACACCTTGGGGACACCAACTGGGGGGCCAGAGGATGGGGATGGGGCAGGGACACCATGGAGACACCATGGCAGGAGCAAGGGGACACCAAGAAAGGGAGTGGGACCCCAAGGTAGAACCATGAAGGTGGACTAGAGCCTCCTGGAGACATGAGGACACCTTGGGGACACCATGGGGAGACCATGGAGACACCATGGCTGGAGAAAGGGGAGACCAAGGAAGGGTGTGGAACCCCAAGGTAGAACCATGAAGGTGGTCCAGAGCCTCCTGGAGACATGGGGACACTTTGGGGACACTGTGGGGACATCATGGGGACACCACCGGGGGGGCCAGGGGATGGAGACACCATGGGGACACCATGGGGAGACCATGGGGAGACCATGGGAGGAACAAGGGGACACCAAGAGGGGAGGTGGGACCCCGAGGTAGAACCATGAAGGTGGTTCAGAGCCTCCTGGAGACATGGGGACAACTTGGGGACACCATGGGGACACCACCGGGGGGGACAGGGGATGGGGACACCATGGGGACACCATGGGAGGAACAAGGAGACACCAAGACGGGAGGTGGGACCCCGTGGTGGAACCATGAGGTTGGTCCCGAGGCTCCTGGAGATGTGGGGACACCTTGGGGACATCACTGGGGGGGCCAGAGGACGAGGATGGGATGGGGACACCATGGAGACACCATGGTAGGAGTAAGGGGACACCAAGGAAGGGTGTGGAACCCCAAGGTAGAACCATGAAGGTGGACCAGAGCCTCCTGGAGACATGGGGACAACTTGGGGACATCGTGGGGACGTCACGGGGACACCACCAAGGGGGCCAGGGGACAGGGATGGCATGGGGACACCATGGAAACACCATGGTAGGAACAAGGGGACACCAAGAGGGGAGGTGGGACCCCGTGGTAGCACCATGAGGTTGGTCCAGAGTCTCCTGGTGACATGGGGACACCTTGGGGACATCATGGGGACACCACCGGGGGGGCCAGGGGACAGGGACACCATGGCAGGAGCAAGGGGACACCAAGGAAGGGTGTGGAACCCCAAGGTAGAACCATGAAGGTGGTCTAGAGTCTTCTGGAGACATGGGGACACCTTGGGGACACATTGGGGACACCATGGAGACACCACCAGGAGGGCCAGGGGATGGGGACACCATGGGGACACCGTGGGGACACCATGGCAGGAGCAAGGGGACACCAAGAGGAGACTTTGGACCCCGAGATAGAACCATGAAGGTGGACCAGAGCCTCCTGGAGACATGGGGACACCTTGGGGACACCAAGGAGGGGACCCTGGGGACAGATGTGGTGGCTCTGGGCAGGGGGCAGTTGACCCTGGTGGCCCCTTGGTGACCAAGGTGGCCCCTTGGGAACAGGGATCTCCAAAGGGTTCCTTGAGGAACCTGGTGGCCCAACCCAGCCCCTTGGGGACTCAGGTGACCCTGGGGGGGCCCCAGGTGACACCAGTAGCCCCCCAGGTGGCCCTGGTGGCCCTGGGTGACCCTGGTAGCCCCTTGGTGACCAACGTGGCCCCTTGGGAACAGGGATCTTCAAGGGGTTCCTTGAGGAACCTGGTGGCCCAACCCAGCTCCTTGGGGATCCAGGTGACCCTGGGGGGGTCCAGGTGGCCGAGGTGGCCCCAGGTGACACCAGTGGCCCCCCAGGTGGCCCAAGTTGCCCAGGGTGACCCTGGTAGCCCCTTGGTGACCAAGGATCTCCAAAGGGTTCCTTGAGGAACCTGGTGGCCCAACCCAGCTCCTTGGGGACCCAGGTGACCCTGGGGGGGGTCCAGGTGGCCCAGGTGGCCCCGGGTGACACCAGTGGCCCCCCAGGTGGCCCAGGTTGCCCCCCAGGTGACAGATGACGATGCCACCATAGAACTCAACGGGGGGTGGTGGTAGAACATCCACGGTTGGGTTTTGGGTAGGGGAGGGGGTTCTGGAGGCCAGGGTTGGATTTTGGGGGTGGAAGATGGATTTTTGGGGGCCCAAGGATGGGTTTTTGGGGTGAGAATGGAGGTTTTGGGCGTTCCCTGACCCATTGGACATGACAATGGTGTCATCAAACCCAACGTGGGGATGGTGGTAGAACATCCATGGTTGGTTTTTGGGGGCATAGTTGGGTTTTGAGGTAGAACATGGAGTTTGGGGCCCATTGTTGGGTTTCTGGGGGTCAGGGTTGGGTTTTTGGGGTGAGGATGGAGAATTTTGGGGTTGGGGGGAGGGTTTTGGGGTCTCCCAACCCGTTGGACACGACAATGGTGTCATCGAACTCAACGTGGGGATGGTGGTAGAACATCCATGGTTGGGTTCTGAGTTAGAACATGGATTTGGGGGCCCATCGTTGGGTTTCTAGGGCTCAGGGTTGGGTTTTGGGGATAAGGATGGAGGTTTTTGGGGTTCCCTGACCCATTGGATGTGACAATGGTGTCATCAAACCCAACGTGGGGACGGTGGTAGAACATCCATGGTTGGTTTGGGGGGTCATAGTTGGGATTTGAGGTAGAACATGGATTTTGGGGCCCATTTTTGGGTTTTTGGGGCTCAGAGTTGGGTTTTGGGGGTTTGGGGGGAGGTTTTTGGGGTCCCCCGACCCATTGGAGATGACAATGGTGTCATCGAACTCAACGTGGGGATGGTGGTAGAACATCCATGGTTGGTTTTTGGGGTCATAGTTGGGTTCTGAGGTAGAACATGGATTTTGGGGCCCATGGTTGGGTTTTTGGGGCCCATGGTTGGGTTTTTGGGGCAAGGATGGAGGATTTTGGGGTTGGGGGGAGGGTTTTGGGGTGTCCCCTGACCGGTTGGAGATGACGATGGCGTCGTTGAACTCGGAGCGGCAGTTCTGGCGCAGGGCGGTGCGCCCCCCGTTGGTGATGACGGCGTTGGTGCCGTGGAGACGGTGGAAGCGAAGGTCACTGGGGGAACCCCCCGGGGACGGGGGACAACTCTCGGGGGACACCGGGGTGTCACCTTCTGACCCGTCACCCGTCACCGATGTCACCTCTGGATGGGGACACCAACCATGAACCCCAAGGTTGGGGGGCTGGGACAACCCCACGGCCGGTGGTGGCATCCCACCATGTGGCCCAGTAGGTTGGTGGCCCCAAAGCCACCACCCTGGTGTCCCCAAACCCCCAAACTCCACCCCTGATGTCCCCAGGTCCCTCAAATCCACCCCAGATGTCCCAAACGCCCCCTAAAGCCACCCCTGGTGTCCTCAATGTCCCCAAACCCATCTCCTGATGTCCCCAAACCCCCAAAACTCCACCTCCTCATGTCCCCAGGGCCCCCTGGTGTCTCCAAACCAATCCCCTGATGTCCCCAAACCCACCCCAGATGTCCCCAACCCACCTCTTGATGTCCCCAACCCCCTCAGCTCAGGGTTGGGTTTTGGGGATAAGGATGGAGGTTTTTGGGGTTCCCTGACCCATTGGATGTGACAATGGTGTCATCAAACCCAACGTGGGGACGGTGGTAGAACATCCATGGTTGGTTTGGGGGGTCATAGTTGGGATTTGAGGTAGAACATGGATTTTGGGGCCCATTTTTGGGTTTTTGGGGCTCAGAGTTGGGTTTTGGGGGTTTGGGGGGAGGTTTTTGGGGTCCCCCGACCCATTGGAGATGACAATGGTGTCATCGAACTCAACGTGGGGATGGTGGTAGAACATCCATGGTTGGTTTTTGGGGTCATAGTTGGGTTCTGAGGTAGAACATGGATTTTGGGGCCCATGGTTGGGTTTTTGGGGCCCATGGTTGGGTTTTTGGGGCAAGGATGGAGGATTTTGGGGTTGGGGGGAGGGTTTTGGGGTGTCCCCTGACCGGTTGGAGATGACGATGGCGTCGTTGAACTCGGAGCGGCAGTTCTGGCGCAGGGCGGTGCGCCCCCCGTTGGTGATGACGGCGTTGGTGCCGTGGAGACGGTGGAAGCGAAGGTCACTGGGGGAACCCCCCGGGGACGGGGGACAACTCTCGGGGGACACCGGGGTGTCACCTTCTGACCCGTCACCCGTCACCGATGTCACCTCTGGATGGGGACACCAACCATGAACCCCAAGGTTGGGGGGCTGGGACAACCCCACGGCCGGTGGTGGCATCCCACCATGTGGCCCAGTAGGTTGGTGGCCCCAAAGCCACCACCCTGGTGTCCCCAAACCCCCAAACTCCACCCCTGATGTCCCCAGGTCCCTCAAATCCACCCCAGATGTCCCAAACGCCCCCTAAAGCCACCCCTGGTGTCCTCAATGTCCCCAAACCCATCTCCTGATGTCCCCAAACCCCCAAAACTCCACCTCCTCATGTCCCCAGGGCCCCCTGGTGTCTCCAAACCAATCCCCTGATGTCCCCAAACCCACCCCAGATGTCCCCAACCCACCTCTTGATGTCCCCAACCCCCTCAAACCCACCCTTTGATGTCCCCAGGTCCCTCAAACCCACCCTTTGATGTCCCCAGGTCCCTCAAACCCACCCTTTGATGTCCCCAGGTCCCTCAAACCCACCTCTTGATGTCCCCAGGTCCCTCAAACCCACCCTTTGATGTCCCCAGGTCCCTCAAACCCACCTCTTGATGTCCCCAAGGCCTCCTGATGTCCCCAACCCCCTCAAACCCACGTCTTGATGTCCCCATCACCCTCAAACCCACCTCTTGATGTCCCCACGTCCCTCAAACCCACCCCAGATGTCCCCAATGTCCCCAAATCCACCTCCTGATGTCCCCAAACTCACTCCTTGATGTCCCCAACCCACCCCCTGATGTCCTCAACCTCCCCAAACCCACCCCAGATATTCCCAGGTCCCTCAAACCCACTTCTTGATGTCCCCAAATCCCTCAAACCCACCCCAGATGTCCCCAAGGTCCCCAGTGTCCCCCCCCAGTAGCTCACCCCCGTCATCCACGATGGTGGCCTGGGCGGCCTGGCCGTAGAGGTCCACCACGGCGTAGACGTTGGGGGGGACGTTCCAGGCGGCGGGTCCTTGGGCCACCCCGTTGACGAAGAAGTGGAGGGTCCCATCGTCCCTCCTCACCACCCCCACCGTGTCCCCAGCCTGGGAAGGGACACACACCTCAGGATGGACGTCCACCAGGTGGGGTTGGGTTGTCCCCTCGTCCCCGGGGTTGTCCCCAACCTTGAGACGGTCCAGGTTGTGGCCGTACTCGTCCAGGACGGTGGTGCCGTTGTGCATCACCCCGTTGCCCGTCATCATCCAGGTGCCTGAGGGGACAAAGAAGGGGTTGGGGACACCATCACCACCACGGAGAGGATGGAGGGGTTGGGGGACATCCTGGGGACACCTCGGGGTGGCTTGAGCTGGTCTGAGGGCACCTCAGGAACGTCCAGGGATGGTTCAAGATGCCTTGGGGACATGCAGAGGTGGCTGGGGACATCCCGGGGACATCAGGAGTGGGGTTTGAGGGACCTGGGGACATCAGGGGGTGGGTTTGAGGGACCTGGGGACACCAGGGGGTGGGTTTAGTAGGGGTTGGGGACACCTCGGGGTGGTTGGGGGACACTTTGGAGTGATTGGAGATGCTTTGAGGGCACCTCAAGGACGTCCTGGGGTGGCTTGAGGTGGCCTGGGGACAGGTATTGACTCCACAGGGACATTGAGGACTCCATGGTGGAGTTGGGGACCCCATGGAGACGCTGAGGAACCTCATGGAGATGTTGAGGAACCCCCCAGAGATGTTGGGGACCAAACGGAAACCCCATGGAGATGTTGAGGAACCCCACGGAGATGTTGAGGAACATCATGGAGATGCTGCAGACCCCCCAGAAACCCCATGAAGATGATGGAGACTCCATGGGGACATCAAGAGACCCCACAGGAACCCAACGGAGAGGTTGGGAACCTCATGGAGACCCCATGAAGATGCTAAGGAACTCCATGAAGATATCGAGAACCCTATTGAGATACTGAAGATCCCACAGGAACTTCATGAAGACCCTATGGGAACCCCATGGAGATATTAAGAAGCCCCACAGAGATGCTGAGGAACCTCACGGAGACGTTGGGGACCCACCTGAGCGCAGGTTGGTCATGGTGGAGGGCAGCTGGAGGTAGGCTGGGTTGTGGGTGGTGACCCCGATCTCGATGGACCCCGCCCACTTGTCCACCATCTTGTCGATGCGGACCTGGAAGAGCTCGTTGTCCCTCAGGGCCCGGGCGCTCAGCACCACCCCATGGTTGAAGTCGTCCGTGGCGCTGGGGGGGACACACAGGGTGGGGGGGACATTCGTGTCACCATGAGGGATGTGGTGTCACCAGAGGTCCGTCGTGTCAACGGGGACATCAGGGATGGGGACACGCGGACACGACGTCAATGGGGACATCAAGTCAAGAGGCCACCAAGGTTGGGGACACCACGTCAACCAGGACATCAGGGTTGGGGACATCACAAGGAGAACAGCAGAGTTGGGGACAGCTGGACACCACATCAATGGGGACATCAGGGTTGGGGACACCAGAGATGGGGACACGTGGACACCACGTCAATGGGGACACCACGGATGGGGACACCACATCAAGAGGGACACTAGGGTTGGGGACACCTGGACACCGTGTCAATGGGGACATCAAGGATGGAGACATCAGGGTTGGGGACATCACATCGAGGGGGACACATGGACACCACGTCAATGGGGACATCAGGGTTGGGGACACCTGGACACCACGTCAATGAGGACATCAGGGTTGGGGACATCACAAGAAGGACATCAGGGTTGGGGACACCACATTAATGGGGACACCAAGTCAACGGGGACATCAAGTCAACAGGGACATCGGGGTTGGGGACACCACATTGAGGGGGACATCAGGGATGGAGACACCAGGGTTGGGGACATCACAAGGAGGACATCAGGGTTGGGGACACCACATTAATGGGGACACCAAGTCAACGGGGACATCAAGTCAACAGGGACATCGGGGTTGGGGACACCACATTGAGGGGGACATCAGGGATGGAGACACCAGGGTTGGGGACATCACAAGGAGGACATCAGGGTTGGGGACACCACATTAATGGGGACACCAGGGATGGGGACACCTGGGCACCAGGTCAATGGGGACACCAAGGTTGGGGACACCAAGGTTGGGGACACCAAGGTTGGGGACACCAAGTTTGGGGACACCAAGTCAACAGGGACATCGGGGTTGGGGACACCACATCAAGGAGGACATCAAGGTTGGGGACACCAAGGATGGGGACACCAAGGATGGGGACACCAAGGACTCTACGTCAACGGGGACATGGCAGTTGGGGACACAACATCAACAGGGACACCAAGATTGGGGACACCCCATCAACGGGGACACCAGGGTTGGGGACACCAGGGTTGGAGACGTGGTGACCTTCTGTGACCACCACCCCCATCCCACCTCCCTTGTCCCCGGTCCCTCCACGCCCCCACCCTGTCCCCATGTCCCACCCCACCCCGTGTCCCCAAGTGTCCCCCACGTGTCCCCCACTCACTGTGGCCTCAGCGCCGTCCGTCCCTCGTTGACCACGGCCGCCTTCTGCCCGCAGTTGGGGTGGAAGAGGAGCCGGGGTGGGGGTGGTGGCCCCGTGGGTGGCCCGGCGGGGGGCTGAGGTGACACGGGGGGACGGCGGCCACCCTCGGGGGACAAGGCCCGCAGGATGGCGTTGTTGCGGCGCAGGCGGTCGCTGTGGTTGTGGTTGTGGACGATGGTGACCTTCACCGCCATCCCGTAGAGGTCCACCACCCCGTAGACCACCAGGGGGGTCAAGGTCGTTGCCACCCCTGGGAGTGGGGGGGGATGGGGAGGTCACAGATGTCACCTTGGGGACACCCGTGGCCCCTCAAAGTCATGGGAGGTCAATTTGGGGACATCCCCTGGATGGGGACGTCACCAAGAGCCACCTTGAGGTTCCTCAAGGTCGTGGTCCATCAACGTTGGGGGCAACCCCATGGACGGAGATGTCCCCAAAGGCCACCCCACAGATGGGGATGTCCCCAAGAGCCACCCTGGGGTCCCTTTTGTCCTCTTAAGGTCATGAGGTGTCACAACTGGGGACACCCCATGGATGGGGACGTCACCAAGAGCCACCTTGAGGTTCCTCAAGGTCATGGGGCCTCAACGGGAGGGACAATCCATGGACAGGGATGTCCCCAAGAGCCACCCCATGGACGGGGACGTCCCCAAATGCCACCTCGGGGTCCCTTGTGTCCCCTTAAGGTCATGAGAGGACAATTTGGGGACACCTTATGGACAGGGATGTTCTCAAGAACCACCTTGGGGTTCCTCAAGGTCATGATCCGTCAACGTTGGGGTCCACCCCGTGGAAAGAGATGTCCCCAAAGACCACTCCATGGATGGAAGTGTCCCCAAATGCCACCTTGGGGTCCCTTTTGTCCCGTTAAGGTCATGAGAGGACAATTTGGGGACACCTTATGGACAGGGATGTTCTCAAGAACCCCCTTGGGGTTCCTCAAGGTCGTGGTCCGTCAACGTTGGGGGCCACCCCATTGATGGAGATGGCCCCAAAGACCACCCCATGGATGGGGATGTCCCCAAGAGCCACCCTGGGGTCCCTTGTGTCCCCTTACGGTCACGAGAGGACAATTTGGGGACACCTTATGGACAGGGATGTTCTCAAGAACCCCCTTGGGGTTCCTCAAGGTCATGATCCGTCAACGTTGGGGGCCACCCCATTGATGGAGATGTCCCCAAAGACCACCCCATGGATGGGGACGTCCCCAAGAGCCACCCTGGGGTCCCTTGTGTCCCCTTAAGGTCACGAGAGGACAATTTGGGGACACCTTATGGACGGGGATGTTCTCAAGAACCATCTCAAAGTTCCTCAAGGTCACGGTCCATCAACGTTGGGGGCCACCCCATGGAAGGAGATGTCCCCAAAGACCACCCCATGGATGGGGACGTCCCCAAGAGCCACCCTGGGGTCCCTTGTGTCCCCTTAAGGTCACGAGAGGACAATTTGGGGACACCTCATGGATGGGGATGTTCTCAAGAACCACCTTGGGGTTCCTCAAGGTCATAATTCGTCAATGTTGGGGGCCACCCCATGGAAGGAGACGTCCCCAAAGACCACCCCATGGATGGAGATGTCCCCAAAGGCCACCCCATGACTGGTGACATCCCCAAAGGCCACCCCAGGGTCCTGGTGCCCCCTCGAGGTGACGTTCACCTCAACGTTGGTTGACCCCCCATAGACGATGACGTCTCCAAGACCCACCACGGTGTCTCCAGGCCCCCTCCCACCCCCAATATCTCCACTTGGGGACCTCAGGGGAAGTTGGGGGGGGGTTGTGGGGTGTCCCCAAAGTGGGGGGGTGTCCCCATGTGTC